CGCGCCAATAGTGCTTTTGCCTCCTAGCAGAGGTGGGTTCATTACTCACTAAAGCTCCACCAAGAGACGTGCGCATAACGCCCAAGGTCTTCGACTTCCAGTCGATCCATAGCTCATGATGTTCCTGCCATGTCATACCGAGGATAAGGTCATACCTTGATCCAATTAAAGACTAAGCAGCATTTCACGCTTTTGGAGTAAAAAACCTTGACACCACGGTCTACATGGACTTTCAGCATCGTGACACATTTACCCGTTGCTAAGCATTAACACTCAAACTCGCCTTCGGCGCCTCAGCACAAAGCTGGCTATCTTCCATTGTGGAGCGTCATGCATAGTTGCCCGACGCCCCGGGATCTTTCATAGCTATTCAAGGCCCTTCACGGTCGCTTTCACGATCATCAAGCCAGGCTTGCATACGCGCTCCGTTTACAAGAGCACGGGGCTTTTCGGGGCTGCGCCCTGCAAACCACTACCGTTTTTAGGGTCAACCGAACTCGGTTATTCCCCAGTAGGGCACCCCGCGCCTTCTGGGTGTTGTCGTTTTCCCGCAAGACTGGATAGAAGCGAAACGTCGTTTCGACGAATTTGATGCGCCTTGCGCAGGGGACAACCAATCCGAATGTGACGGGTGTCTCCAAAGACAAAACACCGTCGGGTGTATGAAAACTGCTCGGCAGTTCGGAGATCTACCTCCTCGTTCTCAGCATAGCTGAGACCCACTGATCTAGGCCCGCTCGACGAGCTGCTTGAGTGTGCGATCCAACCAAGTCGTAGCAACTTAAAGTTGAATTTGGCGTCCCCTTGGTTTATTTGCGTCAAAGCCGCCAACATCTAAATTTATAGGTTCTACTATCATATAGTAAAATCTTATCTACTGACAGTCCAGCCAGCTGACTGCTTGTTTAAATACAGCCGCACCATCGTGTGGTCACACTATCTTGTGTGACCCACCCTTCATACCAGCGAAAGTGAAACCCCCGTTACATAGTACGTTTATCTAAAGATATACATTATAGCGGATTATCTGAAGTGTCTAGCAATTATATTGCCAAGAGCTTGGTGAAGCTATTAGAGCGGTCTTAAGGATCTATTTCTGCTGAGACAAGACAAACAAACGTTTGTCGTGCTCTTTGGGAGATATCGCTAGTGCGACGGTTTATCACAGCTAAAAGCTGGTGGCTTCTAGCCGTGACGTAATCGAAAATGATACATCTTCGTCATGATAAGATGGTACTGCTGAGTTAGCATTGCAGCGTAACATATTTACTGTTAAGAGCGATGAAGCTAATTGTTTTTATAATGAAAATTATTTTATCACGAATTGAGTGACCGGGGTGTCCGAGGGTTTTAATTTTACCCTGATTACATTCAAAAGAAATTTATTGAGCAGGCAGTATCATCCTCAAGTATGGCTGCAATTAACCGCAGAATGGGCATTTAACGAGATAATACAATTGTAACTGGAGGAGGGACTGAGCTCATCAGCTGTCATGTTTGAGCATGTCACTGAGAATGCTCGCAGAACACTGAATGTGATGAGTGAAACAACCAGCTTTAACAATCGTACGGGGTCATTTTGTCTTTCGTTTAATGAACATATGAAGGTGAGAAGAACCTTGCTTGAGAGGGTCGCGCCATGAAGCCAAGATGCCGTCTGTATTCGGATGATCCATATTTGCACACTCGCGCGGCTTCCTTTCACACCCGTTGATATTGTCTCTTTTGCCGCGTCTTAGCACCTTTTGACATCCGTCACAAATATGCTGGTGAGCCACCCAGTTGGTCACACCATGTCAGCATACTTTGCATTGTGCATCTGCAAGAAGTTGACCAGGCCAATATACTTTGCAAATCCCTTCAAGATAAAGACACTGATCAGTCTACAGTGGTCTTCATCTCTGCGGGATGTATCCACAAACATGATTCTCAATGAAGCAATCCAGAATTATGGTATTGTAGCGTCAAAGGCACTGTGTCAATATCAGCTATCACTTATCGAAAGGCATGCACTTGAGCCTTGCTCGAAATGTCAAATGTGATTCTAACACATCCGTCCGTGGACTTTGCACCACTTTGGACAAATGAATCGTTTAATCAGGTACGTACGTAGGCCAGAACATTTGCGTCCGGACAACTTACCGCCACTGGCGCGCTGGACGGTCGATGTAACAATATACTGGTGCTTCCGGCGTATTCCGCCAAAAATACTCTCTGCAGTGATAAAGATGTCGCTGTTGTTGATATTCGTATCAACTCGATCAGGAACACTAATGAAGATAAACAACACATCATTTCTTTTATTTTATAAGAAATCGACGTTTGCGCCAAAATGGCATCAAAGTTGATACAATTATGCGCAATGTGCTTCTTGTCGTTAGCCATCGGCGCCGAGTGGAAATTTTCTCCCACAAACTTGCTTCGTTCTACGTACGGACAAAATCGTCTATAACGTCACACTGCTCCCTGGTATGGACAATTGCTACGCAGCTCAAAATTTGTCAAATATAAAGCTTTGGCCTTTGCCACAGGCTGTGCTGAACCAAGTAGATGTCGATTGGCATGCATGTGCAATCACTTTTGGGCTTTTGCAGCTTAAGAACTGGAATCATTACGTTCGCTATAAAGGGCTACATACAACGAAGTATGTTCTTGTCAAGCTCATGCTGCATCCGCTTGGCTCTAAGCTATTTGTGAATTATACAGTTCATGCGTTTATGCGCGCGGCGACGTCATCATTAATGAATGGCATGACGATCTTTTGCCATCCGAATTGGCTGAATTTGATGGTGGATGCGCACTTCCGTTCCCCGATGGGTGAATTGCTGCATGGTACGATGGCGACGTTGCCAATTAAAAAGGCAATACGTACCGTGTACGGATCAGCGGCAACCTGTGTTTTGATGCTGAATTTACTGCAGCTCAGAGCTCACATATCGCTTCTTGGAAGATGTTGGTTGCGGGTTTACACCACTTTTTCTTAGTCCAGAACTTATTGATTATCTAAAGTGCAGTGATACCTCATGATGACTTTCCAGGTACAGGATACGGTACAAGGCACATGAAACGCCTTGGATGAAACGCCTTGGATGATTATTCATGAAAAAAAAATAGCATACCGCACTGAAACGGTATACTATTATGCATTGAAACGGTATGAATTGGCGATTCGACAAGTATAAGCGGGTAAGCACATATTTGTGCACATATGGGGCGATTAAGTCTCGTTGTATGTGCCGACGCCTTTGGTCAGCCTGCCGGTTGCATCCGAAATTTGATATTTGCCTTTTAGATTCAGTTGCGCGTCGGAGAATAGATCTTCGATACAACCAAACTCGTTGATGTAAATTTGGCTACGCTTCACAGCAAAATCACACTGGGAGCTGAAATATACAAATGCAACACGATGGTGCCAGATATAAGTAAAACACACATCAATCAGGAAATGGTAGCAAACAAAATTAGGCGGTATAAACTTGACTATACGTGTATTAGCTTTGGTGATACGACTACTTCATTGATGATACGACATTGGACCCTTCATGGTCATAGCACAAAGTAACTGAGGTATACCCTTATCATGCAGAAGAGAACAAAACGTATAATTTGTTTATGTGGCTTGCAAAAACCATTTTATGATAAGCCAGTTGTGTCTGAAACGCTCCGTTGAAGACGATGCACCATGTGCCATCCTCAAACGCTAGGGGATCTCTTGTACTAGGGCAGCGATATGGTTTGGAACCTGTAGAGATGCATCATCCCAATCTTAACATAACGTAGTATTGAGAACGAGCCCATAATATCATTTTCAACCGCTCTATGAGATACTGAGTAGCGAAGACGTGCTGAATTTGCTATGAGAGCTCGCGAAAGCAGCCGTGGATTAGTAGTATCCTTCGACATCTCTCGATGAGCGAGTAGATCGAATGGTGGGTTGGCGGGCTCACGAGAACTGCGTAAAACCAAATCTGGTGGATCGTACGTGATGCTTTCATTCCGATATGGGATATTAAGGTTGCACTATAAAAAATATGTTCTTTGATATCCCTCAGTATTTATCTCTTTAAAGAACCGCGGAGTCGCTCGCACGGCGCACTTCCCACAACGGCTCTGTCGTATATATCCAAGTTAGGAGGCGGTGCTGGATCAGAATTTGGAGAGTCGAATAACACGTTGCCCCCGCCATCGTATATTGCAATAAGGGCTTAGTCGTAAGGAACGCAAACCACGTGTAGATTATATGCTCATAAAAGCATGCAAAGAGTTTCACTAGACTCTTTGCATGCTTTTAAGAGCATCTTTGCATAAAGAAATATCTCCCTTTTAAATTTCCACGTGGCTTGCGTTGCGTGCTGTGGGTGCTCGTTGAGCGCTAACTTTTGTTTTTGTAATATGCTGAAAGACAAAAGAGATATGAGCCATAGCGTGGTCCACATCTTGATGGGGAGGGTGTAACGTAGTACGATGGTATATGTAAACCTGACACGTCCCGATGTTTGCACGAATACAAAATTCAAAGATCTCACAAAAAATCACTTCACATTTTTCGTGCATTTGTTAATAATCAGACATGGTAAAGCAATGGAACCTATGTAAATGATAAGACTCCGTCAAGTAGAGGTCGGTATCTCACAAGTGTGTCACGAAGCTGTTAGCTCTGCCTCAAAAGCAACATGTTAAATCATTCGTTTGATCAGAATAAATCGTGAATATCATAGCAGATCAAACTGGATGACCATTTACTTCAGAGGCTCTCGCTTTCGCTCCTGAGTGTAGCACATGAGCCCAATTGAGGGCTTTTGCTTACACGGATTCGTTGAGTTCAAGCTTATTTTGCGCAACTCGTACGAGATTATCGTCGCAAACCTCTATCTTGGGTAAAGCACTAATCTAATGTCGGTCTTTAACGATTTGACATTTCACTTATGCCGATTACAGGTATATTTTATCTTGCAAAATTTTATAAAGACGGTAAAATCTACACATTCTGTGGAAGGAAGATGCGTGCCGCTAGTATCCTCGCTCGGCGTTTGGCTCTTTCGTCAGGCCGCCGCGCGGTATCCTCGTCCCACGGCCACAGTCACAACTACCCGCACGGAATGCACTTTCACGTCAGCGCCGTGCACAAAAATCTGGCTCTGGCCTACGGCACGATGCTCTGGCTCTGGGTCTTTTGGCGGGCCAAGCATGACGGCCTTGCCGTTCTGGTATGCAGAAAATTAATGTTTTTGTCTCGTTTGATGTTATGGCTCAGATTTTTTTTAAATGTGTTAAAGGGTCTCGAACACCCCTGGGATCACCACGGTCATCACGACGAAACACACGCCGAGGGGGCTTCTAAAGGCAGCTATCTGCTTGTGGACGGTAAGATTCAGTACGAACGCTCGGAGATTGGTGTCATGCCTACGCCCATTGAGATAAATGGCGAAATGGAGAGTGAGGAGAGTGAAGAGGCTGCTTTTGACGTCATGGACGACCTGCACGATAAAGACGAGGAGTGAACTTATCGCGCAAATTGGGGAACATTGGCAACACTACAGTTTGCTGATAATGTCTTGATGCATGCGATGCGACGTCTAGCCAAGGTGACGAACTTAGAACTTCACTGATGTTGTGAATGGAGAGAATATACAACGAATTCTGTATTTGATACACTTTTGCGGAATTCACATGATCAGTAGTTTGTTATGAAGCTCTTCTAGATCTTCAACAGTCCTGTACGTTAACTCTGCTGTTCGTGCTGTGAACCGCCTGTGCAAATTTCGAAAGCTGCCGCGTGTTGCGATCTTCGATTTTCTGTATTGTCGGGTGTCCTCTTCAAGCTCTGCCTTGATGGTCTCGATTTGTACAAATGCTTCATGAAGAGCCGATATATGCTCTGCTGTGCGTTTAAGCGGCACAATTGTTCGTTCAGGGACGTCGTCAAGAAATGCTACTCGGGATACTAGAGCCTGGAAATGCTGTGTGCGTTGCTCTAGCACTTGTTTCTCCATGTCTAATTGCTGATTAGTCGCTGTCAACTCCCGCAATTTTAGACGCAGCGCCTCTAATTGAGAGTCGAGCTGTCGTTCCTCGCTCTCCTCCTTTGTCAGCAACGCTGCACTGCCGTCTTCTTGTGTATTTTCAGTCTCGCTTTTCCCCAACGAGTTCTGCTTTTCTGCTCGAATCCGTGTCACCTCGTCAGCTAATGCCTCAGGCACTGACACAATATTCCGTTGCACGTAAATCTCAAATTTGTCAAAATTCCTTTCAAATGTCCGGTGCACCTTAGACATGTACTTTCCAGAGCCCTAAGGAGCAAAAGTAACACTGAATATGAAGTCTCGAAGCGCCACCACAATTCTAAGCCTATTTACCTTTGCGACGGCATTCAGTTGCTTCGCTTGCTTCTTTTTATCGCCTGTAGAATCCAACCGCTAATAGAGTATAGAAATTGCTTAGCTTTGAGTTCACTTAACTAAGCGTCAACACAACTTCTCACCTTGTGAAGCGCATTCTCCACTTCTCCCGTAACTTCTACGACGCTTTCGGAGATCTGCTTGTTAACTACCAGGTTAACACATACAACGATAATAAGCTTCACAAATTGCGCAAGATTTATGTGATAAACAGGTGATCAGGCTCTCTCGCAGGGACGTACGTGCTGGCAGGAAGCCTGCCAAGATGCCAGTTGTCGTCATTCTGGAAAAGTGACACTTTTGGTGTAAGTCACACAGATTAGACATTTACGGCAATTATTGGACTTCAAAATAATGTTGTCTACGGTAGCGAAGTGCGTATCTCTGCGCGCTCCTGCCGCGTGCCGCAGTTTCTCCTCGCAGATGAAACCATGGAATTTGTTCTCAACGCGTAACCATAGCTAAATATGCTTAAACGTGTTGATATATACTTTATAATCTGTCGATCTGATTGGTGTATAGGAGAAGTCCCTGTCGCCAAACCTGCTGCGCCACAGTATATGATGAACATGAGGGACAATCTTGAGTTTGCGCTGGAACGCATGCGCTTGACAGAGAAACCGATTGCATTGCAGTTGCTCAATCAAAATGCTCGTCGACCTAAAACGGTATGTTTTTTAGCTGATACATGTAAAATTCAGCTAACCCGATGCCGAAACAGGCAAATCATGGCAAGCGACCTTGTTCACACCACCGTAGGCGATTGAAACGTCTAGGTCGCCGCTCCAATAAATAAGCATAACAATGTGCAAGCTTATAAGAGAGAGATAAACTCTACGTTCAAAGCGACAACATAGTTATTGGCGCCTATCCGTCAGGCCGTCTCGATAACAGGATTCCCTGTGATGTAGCTTGCCTACCTGTTTATATAATTGCTTCTGAGCGTTAACGGGACAAAACTTCAGTGCACGATATATTCTTTAATTTGAGTGTCTTTATATCATTAATTTGTCCATTGGACTTCAGTATCGATGCACGACATCGAGTGTTGCCATTGATGTAAACTCTTCTGGCGGGTAAAACCTGTATTCAGAAAGACTCAAATGCTTCATACTTAATTAGTAAGTGTCGAACATCGACGTTTCTGTGGGACGGCCGGTTTTTTGTTAAGTATCACGTGTATGCTCAAGCTACATAGTACTGCATTTGAGGATAAGTCGTCTGTCTGAGCATCCCAAGTATCTATAATATTATGCGCAGAAATTGTTACGTGGACTAAGATTTTGCAGATTTCCTCACTTTCGAATCGAGCTGCATCGTTACGGGCCCATCATTCACCTAAGATCATTCACAGTTATTTACAACGACAGATACTCGACCAAAATTCATCACGAACTTACAAGTGAGACTTCCATATAGGCTCCAAACATACCCTCCGCCACTTTGTCAGCAACGTAATCACGACGCACGCGCTCGCAGAATGCGTCGTAGAATTCCTTAGCTAAGCTGGGTGTCACTACAACAGTACATGATAGTGTTCATTCAGTTATCAGCTTGGTGGGCATACAACACTTCAAACATACTGGAAAGGTGAAAATCAGGTTTATTTCCGAGGAATTGTCCGTGCAGCGTAAATTGACTCACAAGAAGCAACTCATACTCTTTATCCTTTACAGATAATTTCCATGGACGTTTTGATTCTTCAGGCCACAAACGAGCATTCTAGTAGGCACATCAGTTGACACAATGACATGGCATTATCACATACTTTCAGCACACTTACTAGTATACGACGACAACACCATTCAGCGTCATCTTCAGTATCATCATTGCCAATGCCGATAAAGCACAACAGTCCTGGACCAATTGCACCAACGACGTTACCCTCAACAAGCACGGATGCGCTGAGGACACGCTGCAGGACGACCTTCATACTGTCGAGCTTTTACACCAATCAACAACTGGTTGTATTTATTTATCCAATGACTGACCGCTAGCATGCGTCGAATATCTTGCAAAATGCCGCTTGAAGTGCTGCTATTCGGTCTGTCGGCTAACCCGCCGACAGGACAAAGGGGACACATGGGTATAGTACAGCACTGTCGTAACTTATATGACGAGATTTGGCTTATGCCAGTGTATCAGCACATTTACTCGAGTAAAAGGCAGCTTGCGCCTTTCGAGCACCGTGTTGAGATGTGTCGCCTAGCGTTAGAGACGCTTAGGGCCCAAAATGACGGCGGCGCCAAGCTCAAGGTAATAGAAGAAGAGCGTAACATGTATGAAGACTCAGTTTCCATGAGTGGTAGTCCAAAGAAGCTACAACTTGGTAGCATTGACCTCGTCCATTATCTACGGAATAAATATCGGAACACGAACTTTACAATGCTGCTCGGAGGCGACACGTACTTAGACCTTTTGGCCGGTAAATGGAAACGTGGCGATGAACTTAGAAAGCTCGTGAAATTGTTAGTGGTAGACCGCAAGGGAGTCGATTCGACATGGAGAGATCAAAACGTTGCTGAAGATTGCGTGACGTACATTCATGTGCCTCAGCTTGACGACGTGTCATCCACGATAGCCAGAAATACGACGGATTACGCTGAGGCGGCCAAGTATCTGGATCCAGTGGTTCTGGACTATATTGTCCAGCACAAACTTTATGCCTTTGCTACTGATTCTGGATGATTTGAAAAAGGAGTGAGATGTAAAACGTAGTATTCTTCGAGCTCGAACTTCCATTTGCACTCAACTGGCTATCTATTTGCTGTTCGCGTAAAACACTGTATTCTAGTACCTCCTTCGTTCAAGGAACATTCGATGATCTCTCTTTTGAGTCCGAACTTCACACTTTGCATGTCAATTTCTGTCTCTGTCTCCTCATCGTAGCAAAAGCTCGAGCACATGAGGAACATACCACTGAGAGAAAGTAGTCTATCTACGGTCCAGAAAAGTAGAGGAACCACCTCACGAGCATAGATGACATCGGAGCCGACGATCAGCTCAGTGACGCGATTGCTGCCCATTGGTCCGGCCTGCAATTTCTCAAGTGCCTCAATCTCCTGAATGCCATCGGGTCCCCATCGCAGACTCTTTGTATGGCACGTAGCCTGTGCACGCTTTTGCTGGCTTGCATTGTGTGAGATGACCTTCAGCACGCCCGGGTCGTGGTCCGTAAAGATTACAGTGGCATCAGGTCGCAGTTGAGCTACAGTAAGACCAGTAAGACCACAGCCAGCACCTAGCTCCACTATATTCCCGCTTGGGATTGCATCGCGGTGCTTAGTCAGATACTCGCAAAGTGCAGGAGCTGCTGGCCAGACGTAGTGGCCACTTTGCAGTGCACCTGGCTCCTCTTTGGCATATGTGAGCAATACCGAAACGTCCGCGTTGGCACCGAAATTGTAGCTGCATGTAACTTTTTCAAGAAATGCATCGAACATGAAACCTACGTCTGTGAGCATCCCCTCCGTACCATCCTCCATCTCAATAGTCTCCATCTTGATAAGCTCGTTATTCGATAATTGGATTCTTCGAATTTAAAAAGTGCTAAGTCATCTCTAAAGAAACTTTCCGGATACAAGATAAATTTTCGAAGAGTGAGAATATAATCTATTACTAAGTACGATATCAGAGTGATGGTAGTACATCATTACAGCTAACATGAATTCCAAATATCACTCGTTAATGATTTTGGTGAACAAGTCGAAATTTATCAGCAGAAAGATACATTTAGAATTTAGTCATCGAACTGACGATAGATGCTGTCAAATGCACATGCACCTCGCATTGACAACGCTTTAACTCGACGAGTCCGCGATAATAAACCCACGGAGGATATGTTCGTACATTCCATGCAGAAGGGAAACTAAAAGTCTCGCAAGTAGCCATTACCTTGATTGCTTTTCTTTGAGTGGTATTTGATGCGTATGCAGGCTCACCTTCAATAACAACATATGCGCTTAAATATCTATATTTGTATACAGCGAGGCTGGCAGCCACTGACCCACATTTTTTTCCGTTCAAACAGCCAGCTCTGAGCGTTCGACATCGCACTC